AGGCCCTCAAGTCCCACCTGTTCACGAGGCCTTTGGCCCCTAATCTATCTGTTGTTTTTGTCTGACTGACTGGTTGTCTGACTGCCATTTGTTTTGCCCTGTTCTTCCTTGTAAAGCGACCTTGGGTCCCATGAAAGGCGCTATATAAATCTAAGCTATTATTATTATACACTCAGAAGACTGCCCATGCACAGAGGAAACATTCCACGTCAACACGACATCAATCAATGGTTGTATTTCAGGGATGTTTGTCTACCTGAAATTGACGCTGAAATTGAGTTGCTGATTGGTTCAGATGTTCCAAAGGCCCTTGAACCAATTGAGGTAATCAGGAGTGTGGGGGATGGACCTTATGCCGTAAAAACCATGCTCGGATGCACAGTTAATGGACCATTAGGAGGATGTCTAAGTCTGCCTTCTATCACCTCAGGAACATCTCCCGTCTACGACCATCACTCTCTGATTCCGTGGCCGAGACCCTCATTCATGCATTCGTCTCCTCCCGGTTGGATTACTGCAACGGAGTCCTGTTCGGGGTTCCCAGTAAAGCCCTGGACAGGCTCCAGTATGTGCAGAACTCGGCTGCCAGGGTGCTCACTCACACCAAGCCCTGGCAGCACATCACCCCCACCCTGATCCACCTACACTGGCTCCCAGTCAAGCACCGTATCACCTATAAACTCCTTCTTCTGACTTACAAATCCCTCCATGCCCTCGCCCCCCAATACCTGTCTGACCTTCTCCGCTACCACACTCCATCCCGGAAGCTAAGATCATCTGGACAGGATCTCCTCTCCACCCCCCGCACCAGGTTGCGGACTTTTGGTGACAGAGCCTTCAGTGTGGCATCCCCCACCCTCTGGAACTCTCTCCCCCCCGAAATCCGCAGCGCCCCAACCCTGGACATTTTCAAAAAAGCCCTCAAAACGCACCTTTTTACCAAGGCTTTCGCCACTGTATAGTTAGTTTAATAGGTTTATTTTTCCGCTACTTCCCCCCCCCCCACCCCCTTAACCTGTCTGCCTTTTTTCCCCTACTCCCCCCCCCCCCCCCCCCTACCCGACTTGTAAAGCGACCTTGGGTTTCCTGAAAGGCGCTATAAAAATATTATTTATTATTATTATTATTATTATGTCCTGATGATACTCAGGACAACACTTCAATAAGTGTAAACGGAACATCAGTTGTGCAACTTGACAAGCTGTGGGAACAGCAATTTCAGACTGACTTTCCCGAATGTGGGAGAGACAACCAAGAACCTTCCAGGGAACACCAACAGTTCTTGGATCTGGTTTCAAAATCTGCCCACCTAGTCAATGGACATTATTCTATTGGATTACCATTTAGAGAAAAGGAAATATGCATGCCCGACAATAAAGGTGTTGCTGAGCAACGCACTCTGAACCTAAAAAGAAGATTTAAGAGAGATCCTTCCTTTCATTCTGATTATACCAACTTCATGTCTGAGATGATATCTAAAGGCCACGCAGAGAAAGTACCGGATCATGTCTTGGAACGTAGAGACAGCAACAAATGGTATCTACCACATCACAGAGTTTTGCATCCACAAAAGAACAAACTTCGAGTAGTGTTTGACTGTGGAGCAACACTTCGGGGAGTTTCACTGAATCCTCAGCTCTTCCAGGAGCCGGATCTGACTAGTACTTTGCTGGGAGTTTTGTCAAGATTCCGTAAAGATCCTGTTGTCATCACTGCAGACATCGAAGCCATGTTTCACCAAGTGAAAGTTCCAAGTGAAGACCGTGACTTGATACGGTTCCTCTGGTGGCCTGATGGAGACTGCAGTCGGAGCCTGGTGGAATATAGAATGACTGTGCATCTCTTTGGAGCAACCTCATCCCCAAGCTGTGCAAATGTTGCCCTTAGGAAATGCGCTGAAGACAATCTAGAACAGTTCAGCCCTCAAGCTATAAACACAATTATGAATAACTTTTATGTAGACGACTGCCTCACTTCAACAGCTTCAGAAGAAGAGGCAACAGCCCTTTATCATGAACTACGAGCCATTTGTTCAAAGGGAGGCTTTCTACTGACAAAATGGATAAGTAACAGTCGGCATGTGTTGGCTGCCATACCTGAAATGGAGAGAGCAAAGGAAATACAAAATCTGGATTTGGACCATGACTTTAGATTTTGTTTATTAAATATCGTAAAACTATCTTGCTTCAGTATTGACTTTCTCTTTGTCAACGCATCACAGTTTATAGCCAAGCTTAGCCTCTTGGCGACTCAAACTGAACTGGAAATTGAGCCGCCACACATACCATAGGAGAATATGTCTGGACATGTCCAGTCATGCACACCTGAGGTCATGACCTTTCCTCACATCTATGGGTTTGAAGGTGTGTCTTTGGTTTTCTGTCCCTGTGTGCAGCATGAAAGCACTGGCTGAGAGGGAGAAAGCTCCAGAGCGGGGTTTTCCTTGGTAAGTTCTCTCAACTTGACTTTGGTTTTGAATGTTTTGTTGAATGAAAGTTTTAATGTGTCTTTTTAACACCGACCATTTAAGAGGATATTCCTCTGAATTCTGTCGGAAGAATTTAAATGTCACAACTGAAGTGGCCCAGTTGAGGTTATAATTTAAATGTCACAACTGAAGTGGACCAGTTGAGGTTATAATTTAAATGTCACAACTGAAGTGGGCCAGTTGAGGTTAGAATGTAAATGTCACAACTGAAGTGGGCCAGTTGAGGTTAGAATGTAAATGTCACAACTGAAGTGGGCCAGTTGAGGTTAGAATGTAAATGTCACAACTGAAGTGGGCCAGTTGATGTTAGAATGTAATGTAAGAAATGTAAAACTGTGAATTAAGGTTTTATATTAGAAAAGGTTCACAGCATGATATATTTGTGTGATTGTCACATTGTAACGAGAGAAGGTAAAAGTGTGGACCATTTTCTTCAAATAAAATCATCCCACCTTTTGGACTAGGATAACTTAAAAGACATCTGCGCTCTCCTCTCCTGCTTCAAAGGTAAGAGTGCACCCTGCCACACTCACACTTAGGTAGGGCCACACCTCATTACTGATATCAAAATCCTTCGGGATCGCTTAAACAGATTTAGTGCGTCGTCTGAATTGAAATAGCAGTTCATTGAACCTGGTTCTTCAGGAGTTAGTAGAGGTGAGATCTTGCTGATCCAGGTGGATGCGAGTCTGGCAGTAAACTTACATAGACTTAATAGCTTCTGTTAGGTCAATTAGTAGGTCAGAGTAATTGCCGGAATAAATTAACAGGCGATTTTGGTGATTGACATCTATTTTGAACCGTTAGAGCCAATAGAATCGAGGGGGTGTTCCTAAATTACATTACATTACATTACATTGCATTTAGCTGACGCTTTTATCCAAAGCGACTTACAATAAGTACATTCGACCAGGAAGACACAACCTTGAAGAAAACAGAATCATAAAGTACATCAGGTTTCATAGAGCCAAAACATTTCAAGTGCTACTCAACTGGCTTTAGGTAAGCCAGTCCTTTATTAGTATAAAAGTGCTTTGTTAATAGTTCTATCACTCGAAGTGGAGTCGAAAGAGATGAGTTTTCAGTCTGGAAGGTGTGTAAGCTATCTGCTGTCCTGATGTCAATGGGGAGCTCATTCCACCATCTTGGAGCCAGGATAGCAAACCCACGTGTTTCTGCTGATGGGAACTTGGGTCCCCCTCGCAGCGAGGGCGCAGCGAGTTGTTTGGCTGATGCAGAGCGGAGTGCACGTGCTGGGGTGTACGGTTTAACCATGTCCTAGATGTACGAAGGGCCAGATCCATTCGCAGCATGGTAAGCAAGTACCAGTGTCTTGAAGTGGATTCTAGCAGTTACTGGAAGCCAGTGAAGGGAGCGGAGGAGCGGAGTGGTGTGGGAGAATTTAGGAAGGTTGAAAACCAGACGAGCCGCTGCATTCTGGATGAGCTGCAGAGGTCGGATGGCACATGCAGGTAGACCAGCCAGGAGGGAGTTGCAGTAGTCTAGGCGTGAGATGACGAGAGCCTGGACCAGAACCTGAGTCGCTTTCTGAGTCAGCTGGGGACGTATCCTCCTGATGTTGTAAAGCGTGTATCTGCAGCAGCGGGTTGTAGCAGCGATGTTTGCAGTGAAGGACAGGTTGTTATCTAGGGTCACACCCAGATTCCTTGCAGTCTGAGTCGGGGAAACAACTGAGGTGCCGATGTTGATTGTTAGGTCAAGAGTGGGACAATCTTTTCTAAATCCATCTAAACATTACCATTGAGGAGTGAGAGTGATGCGCACGCAGTTTGCCCAAACCGAAAGCTATGTTACGCTCTATAGAAAACTATGTTTATTGCCATAAATATGATGATGGGTTATCAGTAATCATTTCAAAGTGACACAGCGAGATTGGACCAACCTTCAGCAGCGTTTATATGTGTTTAAATGCCATTGAACACAGCTTTTGATCAGAAAACAGCAAAGGTAAGATGTATTTGCAGTTTTGGCCCCGTAAAGTGAAGTTGCGTGTTGTCTTTCCTGGCTTCGCTGCTGTGAGTTATGTACAGTACTAGCTAAAAGATTGGAGCCAATTTTACCTAAAATGGTTCATTCTGACCAAAATGGATTTGTACAAGGAAGGCAGGGCTTTCACAATGTAAGGAGGGTGCTCAATGTTCTCTTAATCACAGCTCACATTGTCCACTCCTCAAGCCTCAAAGGGCGGAGCAGCGAGCCCCCCAACGTCGAGCTGACCAATCAGAGCACAGTGGGCTCACAGGGAGGGGGGGGGGGGGGGTAGGAGCTCCAACAAGCCGTGTAGGACAGAGAGTGAATACACATACTATACAGAGATGCTGTGTGAGAAACCAATGAGAGTTTGGAACAATGTGAATCTATTCTAGTAGACCTCAACAATGGAACTATGATCAGTAGAAATGGCCATCTCTGAGCCAATGAGAATTCATCCAAGAGTAGAGACCCAGCGCCCCGACGGATCTAAAGACGCTGAATGTGTTCGGCCTCTTACCTCGTACAGTGCTGGTCTGACTGGCTGTCTGCAGGCCAGCTCTGGTTCTGGATCTTTCTCCACACTGGGGACAGGAGGGGTCTCCTGATGGAGGGCGCTGCTCCCGGTATGAGGTGATGCACTGTCTGCAGAACCAGTGTCCACAGCTGGTAGAGACTGGATCCTTCAGGACGTCCTGACACAGAGCACAGCTGGTAGAGACTGGATCCTTCAGGACGTCCTGACACAGAGCACAGCTGGTAGAGACTGGATCCTTCAGGACGTCCTGACACAGAGCACAGCTGGTAGAGACTGGATCCTTCAGGACGTCCTGACACAGAGCACAGCTGGTAGAGACTGGATCCTTCAGGACGTCCTGACACAGAGCACAGCTGGTAGAGACTGGATCCTTCAGGACGTCCTGACACAGAGCACAGCTGGTAGAGACTGGATCCTTCAGGACGTCCTGACACAGAGCACAGCTGGACAGCTGCTCCTCCACAGGAACAGGACTCTTCCTCTTCCCTCTGTGGAGATGAACACATCATTTACAGCACTTTACATTAGAGGAGCTGATTCTCACCAAAGGTACAACAAGGGGGCAAATTCTAGTTTAACATTTAAAAAGGTCTATCTCTATATAATATATCTTAGTGATCAGGTAGATAGTTTACACTTCACATTATTATAAAAGCAAAGCTCTTCCTGTCTGGATTCATCACCCAGAGGAGCACATGTTCCCTGTCTCTATAGACACACACAGCTGTATTAACCTGGTGCACTATAGCATTACAAACACAATTCACATAGAAGCTGCTGTGAATTAATTACAATAAACATAGCATAAAGAGCATAGAGCATACAAATATTTAAAATGTTTTCTGAACCGGTTTGATTAAAGCTAGGCTAACACTGTAGCTGCTCCATCAACACTCAGAATGACTTCATGTAGTACAGCAGTGAGTATATTGTTAGCACCACAGACAGTCTCCGGTTTAAACAGGACCATGAATAACCCTGATTGAATACGAGCTGCTGTCGAGCTCTGCTCTCCTCTCTGATCCCCCTCAGACCGTCAGAGACCACAGGAGCACAATCTCAACTCTGACAGCTTTTTGGAACAGAGAGTCACAAACTTTACCCTCAAGTTGAAATGTGTCACGCTGCACGAATACGCAGGTGACATGAATTTCACTTCTTCACTTCATTGGTGTTGCCAGGCACGGATCTGGGTCTTTGCATTGACTCTACATGTAACCTCTCAAAACTCTGTTATATCTGCTAATGTTGAACACAACCAGCTGACCAGGTTATCACTATTATTAACATCTTAAAAATACACATCATAAACATGCCCAAGTCGTACATTCATGTTTTGGACGATATGTTTAGTTTTAAGAACAGTTTTTATCTATATTTTAGCAATTTGAAACCATTTAATAACACTAACAATGATAATGTAATTGCATATTGAAATATCCTTAAATAATGTTAGCTTACTCTACTCTGCGCACATGACATTATTAAAGAATAGATCTTAAGAACAAGCTGAATCCTCTTCAGGTCAGGTCACAGCAGAAACTCTTACTTTGTGTCTGAGGGTCCAGGTTCATCTTTGAAGTCTGGAGGGTCCTCTGTAGACCGCCCACTCTTCAGAGACAGGCAGCTGGAGACTGGAGACTTGTCCTCTTCCTCCTCATCTTTGAAATCACTCATCTTCTCCACTCTGAGAGATGAACCAGTAACACCACACACACACACACACACACACACACACACACACACACTTATTTCAATCATAACATTATAAACTTGGTTAAAGCACATTAAACGAGTCAGACTGTCACATGTTATGAAACTCTGAAGGCTCAAAAACCAAGAAATAAAAAAAGTTCACAACATTTGAAGAGTCCTCATTGAACTCTAGGAAATATATATATTTATGAACACATTATGTTCTGAAATCCAGTATAACAGAGTAAATAGTGTGTTAAAAGCATATCCTGGTGTTAACGCTCACCCTGTTGTCCTCCTGCTCTGTCGAAGTTTAAAATGGCGTCTGGCAGTCTGACTTCCTGCTTTCACCTTAACGCCCTTCCTGTCTGCAGCTCCTCCCTTTGTTTCATAACCAGCTGAACAGGTTCATGTTTAAATCAAATCAAGTTTTATTTATATCGCACATTTCTAAACGATGTGTGGTGGAGCCAAAGTGCTGTACATAAAATAAAAAGAGCCTAGAGTAGAGACACTTTACAGCAAATACAACAGCACAGACCCTCTGTCCTTAGACCCTCTGTCCTTAGACCCTCTGTCCTAAGACCCTCTGTCGTTAGACCCTCTGTCCTCAGACCCTCTGTCCTCAGACCCTCTGTCCTTAGACCCTCTGTCTTCAGACCCTCTGTCCTTAGACCCTCTGTCCTCAGACCCTCTGTCCTTAGACCCTCTGTCCTCAGACCCTCTGTTCTTAGACAGTCTGTCCTTAGACACTCTGTCCTTAGACCCTCTGTCCTCAGACCCTCTGTCCTCAGACCCTCTGTCCTTAGACCCTCTGTCCTTAAACCCTCTGTCCTCAGACCCTCTGTCCTCAGACCCTCTGTCCTTAGACCCTCTGTCCTTAGACCCTCTGTCCTCAGACCCTCTGTCCTTAGACCCTCTGTCCTCAGACCCTCTGTCCTCAGACCCTCTGTCCTTAGACCCTCTGTCTTCAGACCCTCTGTCCTTAGACTCTCTGTCCTTAGACCCTCTGTCCTTAGACCCTCTGTCCTTAGACCCTCTGTCTTCAGACCCTCTGTCCTTAGACCCTCTATCCGTAGACCCTCTGTCCTCAGACCCTCTGTCCTTAGACCCTCTGTCCTCAGACCCTCTGTCCTCAGACCCTCTGTCCTCAGACCCTCTGTCCTTAGACCCTCTGTCTTCAGACCCTCTGTCCTTAGACCCTCTGTCCTTAGACCCTCTGTCTTCAGACCCTCTGTCCTTAGACCCTCTATCCTTAGACCCTCTGTCCTCCGACCCTCTGTCCTTAGACCCTCTGTCCTTAGACCCTCTGTCCTCAGACCCTCTGTCCTTAGACCCTCACATCGTACAAGGAAAAACTTCCAGAGAAAACCCACAGTTTAAAGGGAACATGGGAGAAAGCTCAGGGAGAGCAACAGAGGAGGGATCCCTCTCCCAGGACGGACAGACGTGCAATAGATGCCGTGTGTAAATGGAAGAGATAATACATTTTACAGCATATAGACCGAATGTTAGGAAATGCATGTGTCTGTAATAAGAAGATGTAAGCTACAATCCTGTGGAAGCCATCAGGGAAGCAGCATGACGAGACCCAAGGCAGGACCGCAGAGACAGGTTCAGCCACGACCCGAAGTCCACGACTTAATCCAGAACTCAGGATAGAGGATCCAAGACACAGGACCACAGCAAGAGGATCAGCCTCGCCTCCGGATCCCGGCGTAGATATAGATACAAAACAAGAACATTTGGGGGCGGCTGGGTTAATCGGAACAAGAGAATACACAGACACAGACAGACAGAAGGAAGAACAAGCACTCCCTTAGGATAGGTTGAGGGAAAAGGTAAGCAAGTAAGAGAGAGTAAGAAACATAGGTGGAGAGGCACACTCAGGGAACAAGGTCCCTGATTGGAATTGGTGAGAAGTAGGGAGGTACACTGTGTCTACGGTCATAACACTCCCCGGCCTGAATAAGCCACTCTGCAGCCTGTTACCCTCTAATAAAACCACGAAAGGTCAGAGAGGGAAAAGGTGTTTGGATAAAGAGAGGATAGAAAGAATAGATTACAGGAGTAGAGAGTATGAGAAGTAGAGAGAAAAGATTTAGAAGAATGAGTAGTAGTAATAACTTTAGATTTATGTGAAAGAGCAAAAACCAAAATGTAGGTGAAGAGGCACAGCGTATCTACGTCAAAGCACTCTTATTAGATTATTTTATCAGCTATAAGCTTTATCAAAAAGGAAGGTCTTAAGCGTACTCTTAAAACGGATAGGGTGTCTGCCGCCCGAACACAAACTGGAAGCTGATTACACAAAAGTGGAGCTTGATAAGAAAAGGCTAAAAGGCCAGAGAGAAGAAGTGGGTTTTAAGTGTGGATTTAAAAAACCCTAGGGTCTCGGCCGACCTCACATGGAGGGGCAGAGTGATCCAGAGTTTAACCCGTTATGGAACCTTCCCTGGTGGTAGTTGATCTATTATATGAATAATGAGTTTAGTATCTAAAGTATCTAAATCTCTAAGGTGCCCCAAACTCAAAATGCACAATAAAGGTTAACTCTAATTCTAGGTTTGTTTAGGATATTGGTTTAGCAAACTCTATATACAAGTTAAGACCTCCAGCCGACACAACGACACACAGGACCACAACTTAGGAACATAGACAATAATTGTGTATTATTGTATCAAAACATATAGATCAGAGAAAATACAATTACTCACAGAATGTATAAAATAAAAATGAAATAAAATGTATTAAAATGTTTCTGATAAAGGAAGAATAAAATGCTTTCTAAATGAATCACAGATCTGTTTCAATGTTCAAAATAAAACTCCAAAGAAAGGTGTTCTTTAACCCGTCCTTACCTTCCTGTGGATCAACATCCACATTTCATCCATAGGAGACGACATCCACATATCATCCATAGGAGACACAACATCCACATATCATCCATAGGAGACACAACATCCACATATCATCCATAGGAGACGACATCCAGATATCATCCCTAGGAGACGACATCCACATATCATCCATAGGAGACACAACATCCACATATCATCCATAGGAGACACAACATCCACATATCATCCATAGGAGACACAACATCCACATATCATCCATAGGAGACGACATCCACATATCATCCATAGGAGACACAACATCCACATTTCATCCATAGGAGACACAACATCCACATTTCATCCATAGGAGACGACATCCACATATCATCCATAGGAGACACAACATCCACATATCATCCATAGGAGACGACATCCACATATCATCCATAGGAGACACAACATCCACATATCATCCATAGGAGACACAACATCCACATTTCATCCATAGGAGACACAACATCCACATTTCATCCATAGGAGACGACATCCACATATCATCCATAGGAGGCGACATCCACATACCATCCATAGGAGACGACATCCACATATCATCCATAGGAGGCGACATCCACATATCATCCATAGGAGACACAACATCCACATTTCATCCATAGGAGACACAACATCCACATATCATCCATAGGAGACACAACATCCACATATCATCCATAGGAGACGACATCCACATATCATCCATAGGAGACGACATCCACATATCATCCATAGGAGACGACATCCACATATTCCCATTGGAGACAACATCCACATATCATCCATAGGAGACGACATCCACATATCATCCATAGGAGACAACATCCACATATCATCCATAGGAGATGACATCCACATATCATCCATAGGAGAGGACATCCACATATCATCCATAGGAGAGGACATCCACATATCATCCATAGGAGACACAACATCCACATATCATCCATAGGAGACGACATCCACATATCATCAATAGGAGAGGACATCCACATATCATCCATAGGAGAGGACATCCACATATCATCCATAGGAGACACAACATCTACATGTCATCCATAGGAGACACAACATCCACATATCATCCATAGGAGACTACATCCAGATATCATCCATAGGAGACGACATCCACATATCATCCATAGGAGACGACATCCACATATCATCCATAGGAGACACAACATCCACATATCATCCATAGGAGACGACATCCACATATCATCCATAGGAGAGGACATCCACATATCATCCATAGGAGAGGACATCCACATATCATCCATAGGAGACACAACATCTACATGTCATCCATAGGAGACACAACATCCACATATCATCCATAGGAGACTACATCCAGATATCATCCATAGGAGACGACATCCACATATCATCCATAGGAGACGACATCCACATATCATCCATAGGAGACACAACATCCACATATCATCCATTGGAGACACAACATCCACATATCATACATAGGAGACGACATCCACATATCATCCATAGGAGACACAACATCCACATATCATCCATAGGAGACACAACATCCACATATCATCCATAGGAGACGACATCCACATATCATCCATAGGAGACGACATCCACATATCATCCATAGGAGACACAACATCCACATATCATCCATAGGAGACACAACATCCACATATCATCCATAGGAGACGACATCCACATATCATCCATAGGAGACACAACATCCACATATCATCCATAGGAGATGACATCCACATTTCATCCATAGGAAACACAACATCCACATATCATCCATAGGAGACGACATCCACATATCATCCATAGGAGACGACATCCAAATATCATCCATAGGAGACGACATCCAGATATCATCCATAGGAGACACAACATCCACATATCATCCATAGGAAACGACATCAACATTTCATCCATAGGAGACACAACATCCACATATCATCCATAGGCAAGGCAAGGCAAGGCAAGTTTATTTATATAGCACTTTTCAACACAAGGCAATTCAAAGTGCTTTACAAAAAATGAAAGAGATTAAGAAAATGGCATTTAAAATCAGTCATTAAAAAGAAAAGCTAATAAAATAAACATTAAAAGAAAAAAGTACATGGATAAAAGTTACAGTGCAGTCTAAGATATGAATAGTTCAATTAAAAGCAGCGACAAAAAGAAAAGTCTTCAGCCTGGATTTAAAAGTAGTCAGAGTTGCAGCGGACCTGCAGGTTTCTGGGAGTTTGTTCCAGATATTTGGAGCATAATAACTGAACGCTGCTTTACCATGTTTAGTTCTGACTCTGGGGACAGAAAGCTGACCAGTCCCTGAAGACCTGAGAGATCTGGATGGTTCATAATTTAGCAGGAGGTCAGAAATGTATTTTGGGCCTAAACCATTCAGTGCTTTATAAACCAGCAGCAGTATT